TAATGATTTTAGAGATAGAGTAAAGAAAATAAAGTGATGTCCTTGCTCATTTGTGGAATTTTAATATTCACGATTACATAACTTTTCTTGATATCCTATTTTGTTGCTCTATGGTTTCACACAAAGATAACCGTCTCGCCACCCAGGTGACAAAACACAGCACAATTTTATCACCATATCAATATATGTTTGTCACTCAAACAACTCAATAACATGTATCCATTTATTCATTTTTCAAAAAACTCACATCACATCAANCGCCACCCAGGTGACAAAACACAACACAATTTTATCACCATATCAATATATGTTTGTCACTCAAACAACTCAATAACATGTATCCATTTATTCATTTTTCAAAAAACTCACATCACATCAATAAATTCAGCTTTCGTCACCAAGATGAAATCAATTTTAACTTATCTTATTCACGAAAACGAACTTTAACACTTAGGTTACTTTTAGTCATGTAGGCAATCCAATCTAACAATTTGCTTTCGTCGCTTAGACATTTTGATTGTGCAAATAAAATATGTCACTTAGACATCCGACGCTTTATCATCTCAACCATTTTGTTTTTCTTTCCGCTTGTCACACAAACAACTAAATCATCATATTATAATTTGTCACGAAAATATATTGTTGCCATCGTAACATTATGACACTTAAACCATTTATTCATAATAGAATTCATAAGATAGATAGTCACATAAATAATCAAACATTTATACATATATAAAATAAAGGTTAGCGTATGTACATACCTCATAGAAAATTTATCTTGTTGATGACTCCTCTGCCGGAGCTTTTTGAGCTACGTTTTTTACAGCGTTCGTCCTAGAACTGACACCCATTATTCACAATCTCATTCAAGTATTAATAAATAATACCACTTTACTTGAATTGGTTTTCTTGAATCAAATTTCGTAATTTAATCATGTCACATTCAATAACTCATCCACACCTAATAATATCAATTACTCGAACCGATTAAACTAATAATTATAATCAATTCGAGTCACTTGAAAATAATCTATTCGAATTACCTACTCGAATTCATTACATGCAAGTTAAACTTTTCTCATAAAATTATAGTAACCAAAATATACTTGAATCTACAAAATTACCCATAAAATCATATGATTGCATGCTTCCTTATACCCATGAAATTTATGAAAATTCAAGAACAATTAACAAGATTCCTAATTACCCACCAAACTTCCATTTTTCTTAACTAAAATTCAATCCACATTCAACAATTCCACTCTTCTATTTTTCATAAAACAATACTAACTTAATTTACACACCCACATAAATATCAAAGTGAAACCTTCATGCATTAACCAAACCTCATACCAAACATCATACATGTATATATATATATATCCAAACACATACAAAATACCATACTTTAAATACATGCAACACTCAAAATATATATATTAAAGTTAGATTTTTACATCTTGGAATAAAGAAATGGATCACAATTCTTACATTTACACCCACACTTTACTTTTTTTTTCCCCTTCTTTTCTTCTCTGTTTTTTTTTCTTTATTTCCTTCTTCTTCCCTTGATTTTCTTCTTCTTTCCCCCTTGGTTCTTTCTCTAGCCAAGATCCCCAAGTTCAAGACCCCTTTTTTCTTTTTTCTTTCTCTTTCCTTTGCCATAGCCTTGCATGCGACCTTTACTTGTTGTCTTTCTTTCTAGCCATCACTTACATTCCCCCAAATCCCCACCCTTGGTTTTATTATTATTTTTTTATTTGCATGCAAGACATGTCTTGCATGTCTTCTAAAGTGGAAGATTCCATGATTACTTGCATGTTATATATATATTCCTAGCTTAGATATGTATATATGTATATATTCCTTACACGTATTTCTTATATATATTTATACACTTATATGTATATACCCATTTTTTTTCTTCTATGCATATTTACACATAGACATTTATATAAATATATCTAAAATATTGACAATTCATTAAATTTGTATTTCGAACCCCGAACCACTCCTTGTATGTACTAATATATTTTATTATATTATTTATTTTTTAACAATAAATTGATGTTACATGTTTGTCACTCAATTAATTCTACATACGCTAATGTATATAAAATAATAAAATCATATCACATGTCAACATTCTNTATCACCTCACAAAAACCTTTTTGGCAGGCTACTACACTCCACCCCTTTGGAGGTCATGCGTCCTCGCAAGGGCCACGTGGGGTCCACCTCCCTTTGACTATAGGAAAGTCGGCTCTAACAACGACCGGTCTCAACTGTTAAGATATTGTTTGTTTTGGATGCCCTTACACCTTCATGGTTTTGTTTCCCTAGAGCTTTACCCCAGAAAAAAGCCTCTTTACAATTAAGGGTGAGCACACCACATATATAGACAAGTCACTCGCGCACCTAAGTCGATATGAGATGCAACAAACGAAACTAATAGTAGCTCCTCATCTCACAAAGCCTTTTTGGCAGACTGTGAGCTCTGTACTCCNATCTGGAATACTTTCTAACTTTTAATATACCTTATATTATCTCTCCCAAAGTTTTCTCGAACTTCTAGATTCAATGGAGTCCTTATTTTGACCTAAAAATATTTAAAAACTTACCTAACCACCATTCTCAAGCTTAAACACCTCCAAAACTAAGTTTGACTCGAAAATCAAATCGCCTAAAACTCAAACTTCATGATTAATCTCTTAACAATGATTCTAGATTTCTATAACCCTTTTATTCATCTTAGAAGAAATATTAAAATGATATTATTCTTATTTAACTTTACTACGAGATCTTACAATTCTCAACTATTAAGATATTGTCCGCTTTTGGTACCCATATACCCTCACAGTTTTGTTCCACTTGGGTTTTACCCCAAAAAATGCCTCTTTACAATTAAGAGTGAACACACCACATATATAACTCAATCACTTTCCCTCCTGAGTTGATATGGGATGCAACACATAAAGTTATAACACTTCTATCACCTCACAAAAACCTTTTTGGCAGGCTACTACACTCCACCCCTTTGGAGGTCATGCGTCCTCGCAAGGGCCACGTGGGGTCCACCTCCCTTTGACTATAGGAAAGTCGGCTCTAACAACGACCGGTCTCAACTGTTAAGATATTGTTTGTTTTGGATGCCCTTACACCTTCATGGTTTTGTTTCCCTAGAGCTTTACCCCAGAAAAAAGCCTCTTTACAATTAAGGGTGAGCACACCACATATATAGACAAGTCACTCGCGCACCTAAGTCGATATGAGATGCAACAAACGAAACTAATAGTAGCTCCTCATCTCACAAAGCCTTTTTGGCAGACTGTGAGCTCTGTACTCCACCATGACCTTTTTCATTTTATTCCTTGTGTCATAAAGAGAACATTTTAGCGAAGGCTAGTGAGCATAGATAAGTCCTTACCGATTTTTAAAACATAAAGCCAAACAAAAAGAGTTGGGCCTCATGTACACATGCTCAACCTAGTCTACATAGTGCCCCTACTCTCTTAGCCTGAACATCAATTATCTTATACATTGAAGAGGATCCATTAGATACACATTCGATCCATTTCTAACACTTTTCTTTGTTTCAAGAATTTTATTTTCGTTCAGCTAAGTGTCTCTATTTTAGCTATTGTGTAGGATTCACTCTATGCATAAATGATAATTTGCCGATGAGAAGAGTTATAATTAAATGAGGAAACTGATCTCTCGTGACCTATTAATGTACACAAAAAGAAAATAATAAAAACTACTATTATATCTCAAAATCATGGACCAACTAGAAAGCTATACTGACGATAACGATATGGTGTCTTGTACCAAGCATNATCACCTCACAAAAACCTTTTTGGCAGGCTACTACACTCCACCCCTTTGGAGGTCATGCGTCCTCGCAAGGCCCATGTGGGGTCCACCTCCCTTTGACTATAGGAAAGTTGGCTCTAACAACGACCGGTCTCAACTGTTAAGATATTGTTTGTTTTGGATGCCCTTACACTTTCATGGTTTTGTTTCCGTAGGGCTTTACCCCAAAAAAAAGTCTCTTTACAATTAAGGGTGAGCACACCACATATATAGACAAGTCACTCGCGCACCTAAGTCGATATGAGATGCAACAAACGAAACTAATAGTAGCTCCTCATCTCACAAAGCCTTTTTGGCAGACTGTGAGCTCTGTACTCCACCATGACTTTTTTCATTTTATTCCTTGTGTCATAAAGAGAACATTTTAGCGAAGGCTAGTGAGCATAGATCAGTCTTTATCGATTTTTAAAACATAAAGCCAAACAAAAAGAGTTGGGCCTCATGTACACATGCTCAACCTAGTCTACATAGTGCCCCTACTCTCTTAGCCTGAACATCAATTATCTTATACATTGAAGAGGATCCATTAGATACACATTCGATCCATTTCTAACACTTTTCTTTGTTTCAAGAATTTTATTTTCGTTCAGCTAAGTGTCTCTATTTTAGCTATTGTGTAGGATTCACTCTATGCATAAATGATAATTTGCCGATGAGAAGAGTTATAATTAAATGAGGAAACTGATCTCTCGTGACCTATTAATGTACACAAAAAGAAAATAATAAAAACTACTATTATATCTCAAAATGATGGACCAACTAGAAAGCTATACTGACGATAACGATATGGTGTCTTGTACCAAGCATNGAATATTAGTAAAATATTGAGTTTCTAAATTTTTGGATTTTAATTTTTAGGAATATAAAAATTTTGTAGGTATTTTGCATTCCTACTTGATTTTTTTGCAGAATACTAAAGAATCTTCCGTTGGTCTACCCGATTCTTTTAGGTAGTCGATCAATAGAGTCGGGTGGGGTAAGGCAGGGTCAGAAAATGCGGGTAATNATTTAGTTGGCCCATAAAAGCCACCTGTTTATGTCTCTGTTCCATTTCTCGGATTAGGGTTTGTTTGTTTGGTTTGATCTTTCGAAAACACGGAATCAAACCAAACCAAACCGAAACCATGGACGTGGAAGCCGGCGAGTTTCAAGAGTGGGAGGTTCTCCACGAGTCGGACGATGACTTGGGCTGGATTAACTCGCCCAATTACGTCGAAAACATGAGGAATTTGGAGGAAATCGAAGCTGACTCTGGAGGTATGATTCAAACCAATTATTTTTCCATTGATTCTCAAAACAAGTATGCAAAGACTAGTATGGATGGTGATGTCAGTGAAGGTTCCATGGAGTCTGACAATCCCAGTTGGATCGATCCGGTGTCAGAAAATCGGTATTTAAGGAAGGATTCGGGGGAGTTTTTGTCTGATTCGAGCAGTGATCGATCGGATGATCGGAAATTTAACGAATTTGAGGGTAAAAATGAGTTGAGTTTGGTTGAAAGTGAGAAAATCAATGGGGGTTTGAAGGGAACTGGAGAAATTAGAATGGGAAGTGAGAATTCAACAAAATTCTCACCCAATTCCCATGGAATTGGATCGATTGCCAGGGAAGTAGAGACCTTTGAGAAGAATAGTGAACTGGGCATCGGTAAAAATGCAAATTCCCAGGAGGGGTCGGAGCTTTGGGGTGAAAAGGAGGAGGAAAAGAGCTCCACTGAAGCAGGTGAAATTGAAAATGTGGGAATTGAAGCAAAGAAATCTGGTGGTGAAGAAGAGAATAGGAGTTTGGTTTGGTGGAAGTTGCCTATGGAGTTTTTGAAATATTGTGTGTTTAGGGTTAGCCCAGTGTGGAGTTTATCTGTGGCCGTGACAGTGATGGGTTTTGTTATATTGGGACGCCGGTTGTACAAGATGAAGCGGAAGAGTCAGGTCTTGGAACTGAAGGTTACTGTGGATGATAAGGTCAGTAATCCCATTGCTGGACAATTTTATCTTGTTATTTTAGATAGTAATGTGGTATAATTTGGGCATTGAATCGCGTATTATGCATAATTCATATTGTAGGTATTGCAGTAGACTAACCACAGTTTGCAGCTAGCATAATGATACCCAANAGTAATGTGGTATAATTTGGGCATTGAATCGCGTATTATGCATAATTTGTATTGTAGGTATTGCAGTAGACTAACCACAGTTTGCAGCTAGCATAATGATACCCAAAGGATTTTTACCTTCGATGTATTTTGTTCATGAGACAATTTGAAATGAGAGTAGAGATTGAATTTTGTATATGATGATTGACAATGACAGTAGATGTTGAATTTTTTATACTAGGTGATCGACAATTAATAATTCAGGAGTACTAAAGATTCTAGTACATTTGGCATTGTGAAAGCATATGCTTTTCTTCAATTTAATATGCATAACATTTATATTGCTTACTTGAATTTTTTGCTTTTATTCCGGGAAAAAACGATGAGCACGATTTTTTCATATTCTCTATTCCTTAGGTTTTGGTCAAAATACTGAGGTTCGATTTTATATTTTTGACATTTTTGTATTTAATTGCCGTTGGGATTTCTCCTCTTAAATCCCATCTTAATTCATTTCACTGATAGCTTTGTATTCTTTACAAGTTTCTTACACATGTTATTTATATGTGGCCAAAAGCATTTAAAAAAGAGAGGCTTCCCAAATGACTTAGGATCTGGGAGGTTCGGTCTTTAGATTATTTTAACAATTTAATTAAGTAATCTGCGTCAATTAAGTAACATAATAAACTAATAACATTAAAGAAAACACAATAAATTTGATAATACATAAATAATTATAGTAAAATACAACAAGGAAGTCATAAATATCAATAAATCATCTATAAGAAAGCCATGAATATTAGTAAAATATTGAGTTTCTAAATTTTTGGATTTTAATTTTTAGGAATATAAAAATTTTATAGGTATTTTGCATTCCTACTTGATTTTTTGCAGAATACTAAAGAATCTTCCGTTGGCCTACCCGATTCTTTCAGGTAGTCGATCAATAGAGTCGGGTGGGGTAAGGCAGGGTCAGAAAATGCGGGTAATCGAAAATTTTAACACCCCTAGGATCTGGCATGCTTTTCAAATCTTAGATAAATACATCTCTTTTTAAGTGGTATTAGATTTTTGATTTGAGATTACTTGGTGGTCTGTTGTCAAATTGATTCAAGAAATAAATACATGATGCAACCATTATATTATTATGTTCAACATTGTAATGCTTAATAATAGTTTTATTAACCATTACAATGTTGAACATAATAATAGTTTGACTTTTATTTAGCATAAATAAAGAATAAAAAAAATGATAAAAACACATGCATGTTGAGTGAAAGCTGCTACCTTATAAATTTAATCGTCTTAGGTACGTCACAACACCACACATGGATTTCTATAATCTTCATTAATCACTTGTGTATTTGCTCATCGAGGAAACACGATTTCTTTGCACGAACCACGTATTAGTGGTGGGCATGTTTGGTATATGCATATGAATTATGCTTAGAGACATGTTAAACACATGAAAATATATATATTTTTTAATTTGATACACGTTAAAATATGTTGGGACATGTTTAAGACATTGCATTTTTGTTTTGGAGAGAATTAAGGGCAATTAAGAAATGTATAATTTTTAACTTGTGCAAAAGCCAAAAGTAAAGAAAGAAAGAAGAAAAGAAAAAGATGTAAGACCTTGTCAACACAAAACATCAGATGTAAAAAACTGTAAAAAATTGGAAGAATTCAAAAAAGAGGGGAAACCAAAAATGTTATCTCCCCAATCGTGATCCCTAACTTGTATCTTCCTCCCACGGCTTTCATTGATTTGCGATGACTTGCTACTGTGCTAAAAGTCCTTATTTCATCTCGATAAAGTTCTATAACAGTGTCGTGATTTGTGGTTCTACTGTAGCATTGTGTAGTTGGGTAATGTCTTAAAACCACGGTTGAAAGTCGCGGTATCGGTCATCGACTCGGAGGACACTGATACACATCGGTTGCATACGGTATCGGCTGATACGCTCAAAATGCTAGTTAGAAGCTCCAAAACAATTTTAAAAAATTATGACAAATTCTAAAAAATATAAGCATCATCATTCATGCATTATATGTCTACCCAAAAACACATTAAAAATAATAAAAATAAAATATAAAGACGTTACTGAAAATAATTATTATTATGAATGTTTAAGGTACGCACTTAAGAAATATCATCATTATTATTGTCTCTAGAATAATACAAATTAGGATAATTTCCACCATAAGATTAATAATTTAACATTTGATTTAAAATAGAATACTTCAAATATTTATTTAAAAAATAAATAATCTAAATATCTAACTATTACATTAAATATTTTATGATTTATTAAATAGTAAATTTAATCTAATTAAACTTGGGCAAAAAGTGAACCCAAAAACTAATTAGCCACAAATAAAATAAATTAACCACANTGTTACTGAAAATAATTATTATTATGAATGTTTAAGGTACGCACTTAAGAAATATCATCATTATTATTGTCTCTAGGATAATACAAATTAGGATAATTTCCACCATAAGATTAATAATTTAGCATTTGATTTAAAATAGAATACTTCAAATATTTATTTAAAAAATAAATAATCTAAATATCTAACTATTACATTAAATATTTTAATGATTTATTAAATAGTAAATTTAATCTAATTAAACTTGGGCAAAAAGTGAACCCAAAAACTAATTAGCCACAAATAAAATAAATTAACCACACTATGTTAATAAATTAACCATTCTAAGTAAAATAAATTACCCACACTTTAATAAATTACTCACAATAAGTAAATTAAATTAATCATATTTAAGTTAACAAATTAATCACAGTCAAATAGTGTTTAATGAATTGGGTGACACTGGGCTTGGCTTTGTCGGTTTGATACTCTCGGACGAGAGAGAAAGAGAGGGGTGAAACTCTCTAGCAGCAGACGAGAGGCGAGCGAGCGATTGCGATCGCGATCAGGACTTCGACTGCAAAGATGAAGAGAGAGGAACAGAGGGAGTCAGGGCTGTTCGAGACTTCGACTGTGATCGCGATCGATGATGTTGGTCGAGCAACCTAGGGTTTCTGCAATTGATTTTTGATCGTGATGTTGGGTTTTTGCTAAGAAGAAGAAGAAGAAAGGGAAGAACAAAGCTTGTTGTGCGAATGAAAAAANGATACTCTCGGACGAGAGAGAAAGAGAGGGGTGAAACTCTCTAGCAGCAGACGAGAGGCGAGTGAGCGATCGCGATCGCGATCAGGACTTCGACTGCAAAGATGAAGAGAGAGGAACAGAGGGAGTCAGGGCTGTTCGAGACTTCGACTGTGATCGCGATCGATGATGTTGGTCGAGCAACCTAGGGTTTCTGCAATTGATTTTCGATCGTGATGTTGGGTTTTTGCTAAGAAGAAGAAGAAGAAAGGGAAGAACAAAGCTTGTTGTGCGAATGAAAAAATTAGAAGAAAGGCAGTTATGCCTTCAAGTTTAAGGTATGCCTTTTGCAAATCTGAGTTCTATTTTTTGCTTGATTTCTTATCCCTCTTTCTTCTCTACTTTGGTCTTTTTTTGCATTTTTGTCTTTCAATTTTGGAAGAATTTTATCATATCTGTCCGAGTCTGGTATGACTCGGCCGGGTTATGCCGATATTATTCTGAGTCACACTGATATTACTCCGAGTCAAGCCAATTCCACCGAGTTGTAACCGAGTCACGATCGATNCGATCGTGATGTTGGGTTTTTGCTAAGAAAAAGAAGAAGAAGAAGAAGAAGAAAGGGAAGAACAAAGCTTGTTGTGCGAATGAAAAAATTAGAAGAAAGGCAGTTATGCCTTCAAGTTTAAGGTATGCCTTTTGCAAATCTGAGTTCTATTTTTTGCTTGATTTCTTATCCCTCTTTCTTCTCTACTTTGGTCTTTTTTTGCATTTTTGTCTTTCAATTTTGGAAGAATTTTATCATATCTGTCCGAGTCTGGTATGACTCGGCCGGGTTACGCCGATATTATTCTGAGTCACACCGATATTACTCCGAGTCAAGCCAATTCCACCGAGTTGTAACCGAGTCACGATCGATTCAGGTGAGACTCATGATTTTTGCGTAACGTGTACTGTTATCGTATCGGAGGGGGCCGAGTCGGATACGATNTGCCGATATTATTCTGAGTCACACTGATATTACTCCGAGTCAAGCCAATTCCACCGAGTTGTAACCGAGTCACGATCGATTCAGGTGAGACTCATGATTTTTGCGTAACGTGTACTGTTATCGTATCGGAGGGGGCCGAGTCGGATACGATAACGGTACACGTTACGCAAAAATCATGAGTCTCCCCTGAATCGGTCGTGACTCAGTTACAACTCGGTGTGTAACCGGTCGTGACTCATGATTTTTGCGTAACGTGTACCGTTATCGTATCGGAGGGGGCCGAGTCGGATACGACTCGGCCGATACCTTGAACCATGCTTAAAACTTTGAATAGGAGAATTTTTTGTTGTGTGTGATTATGATTTGTAAAATTGTGTGATTTGGTCTATCTAATATTAGTCTTCTATTTTATTATCATATATGTAATTATATAGTAATGTGTGTCTGTGCATATGTGCATTATTGTGTTTCCTTTCTTGTCAATGTAATTGTTAAAGATGTTCCATGTCTATGTGCCTATTTTGTGTTATATCTTTGTCTCAAATCTAATTTTCATGCTATTTATTTGTCGATTATGCTGTTTGTATTGAGTTCACATTTGACAATTACAAATTGAGAAACATCACTTAGTTTCTTGTTATTTATATCCAAAGTCCTAAATTAGGGAAATCTTTAATGGCCCCCTTATAGATTTTTATAACTTTAAGGACCCCACTTAAAATATATGAAACACCACTGTTACTATCTTGCCCGTACTTATTGAGTAACTGAGGTAACAAAAATCATTCTTGAATGTTCTTGCCCAATAACTTTGCATGTGTGTGTGTTTGTGTGTACACGTGTATATCTACATGACAACAGTAGAGAGATAGAGA